TAAACAGTTAATGAGCTCCGAAGCACCAGGAGGCTGTTTATAACAATAACAACAGTTGAATGGCAAGTTTTCATGCTTTTAAACTGTTTAATAAATGTAATCAAACCCGTCAAAGATTGAGGAAAGATGTACACGTTCGTAAGTGCTTGCGTAACTGCTTGGTGAATCTGGCCCCTGGACTCGATTAGGGTCCAAGAACCGCACCAAAAACGCTCTCACATTTTTCGCATATGGATCGAGTTATTCATTGTGTATGGTCTTGTTTGCGTGTGTTTTCAAGAGACTAGGCCCAGGTACCACGGTAATTACTGTGCCGCCCGAATCAACTGTGGAAGAGTCGGAATTACACCTCTCCCATGTGATATCTCTCGCCTTGTCGCTGGTATCAACCCCGATCTCAGTCCCTAGTGAGCTTAACGAGCCCATACCGTCGTTCGACCTACTCTCAGGACGTGAAGATTGCGCCGCTAGCGAGGACAAACAACTCTGCAACAGATCAGGTAATCTGTCAATAGACAGTGGAGTGGGTGGCGACGCCGAGGGTGGAGTTAATGGCGAGATGGATGGTGATGCGCTAGATGGTGTGGAGGGGAGTGTGGATGGTGTGGAGACATCCAAAGGAACAGAGGATGGCAATGAGGGTGTACTTGACATGGGTGTAGATGGGGACCTCTGTGGCGTGGAGGAGGCAGAGAGTGCAAGTGATGAAAGAACAACACTAGATGATGGTGAAGATAGTGCCTTGTCTGCACTAGATAACGGTGAAGACAGCACCATACCTGCACTAGATAATGGTGAAGATGGCACCATACCTGCACTAGATAACGGTGAAGACAGCACCATACCTGCACTAGATAATGGTGAAGATGGCACCATACCTGCACTAGATAACGGTGAAGATGGCAACATACCTGCACTAGATAATGCTGAAGCTGGCACCACAGCAGTCCCAGATAAAAATGCTGATGGCTTAACAACTAAAGTAGATGAATGTAAAGGCAGCAGCAATTTTGAGTGTTGCAGTAACGATGATTGTTCTAACGGCCAGACTACAGACGAGGGGCTCTCATCTGCATAGGAGGGAATTATGGGTAGAAACGAGGGTCTTGACACACAGGGGAATGTAGCTCTCGGGCCCGCCTCTTCCAGAGATGCTCTTGTTGGCGATGGCTTCGAAGTAGATGGTGAAGGGGAGGAGACTTCTGAAGCAGATGAGTGCGATTGTGATGCTTGATACGTAGATGATGGTGACTGTGCTGCTCCATAATTAGATGATGATGATTTTGATGCCGTATAAGTAGACAATGGTGAGTGTGATGCCTTATGAGTAGATGATTGTGACCCTTTATAAGCAGATGCTGGTGATTGTGATGCTTTATAAGCAGATGCTGGTGATTGTGATGCTTTATAAGCAGATGCTGGTGATTGTGATGCTTTATAAGCAGATGATGGCGATTGTGATGCTTTATAAGTAGATGATGGTGATTGTGATGCTTTATAAGTAATTGATGGCGATTGTGATGCTTTATAAGCAGATGCTGGTGATTGTGATGCTTTATAAGTAGATGACGGTGATTGTGATGCTTTATAAGTAGATGACGGTGATTGTGATGCTTTATAAGTAGATGCTGGTGATTGTGATGCTTTATAAGTAGATGATGGCGATTGTGATGCTTTATAAGCAGATGCTGGTGATTGTGATGCTTTATAAGTAGTTGATGGCGATTGTGATGCTTTAAAAGTAGATGACAGCAACTGTGAAGATTTATAAGTAGATGACGGTGACTGTGATGATTTATAAGTAAATGATGGCAACTGTGATGCTTTATAAGTAGATGAAGATGATGGTGTTTTTTTATAAGTAGATGTTGGGTGCGATGATGAAGATGCTGAAGAAGATGAAGATGACAGAGGGGAGTATGATGACCGAGTAGCTGACCTGGTGAGCAGTTTAAGGCCTGGGCTGGATGCTTGCTCACTATCACGTGTCCTTGAAGGAGCCTCTTTCGTTCTCCCTTCTGTCATATCTCTATCAACCATCAATTTTCTTCCATCAGAGCCTATCGCATTGGCCTGGAGCGGCTGATCTTCCACTGTTGCCAGCTCTTCTATATAACACGCACTAGGTTGGTGTTTGATCGAGCCAGCTCGATGTTCATGGGTAACGCACTTTCCAGTTCGCATTTTGGTTTCTGTGTTATGGTCGAGTTCGTTACTTTGTTCTAAAAAAGAAGGCCCGCGCTTATCTGAACTTTCAACGAGTTTACCGCTTGAAAGTTCGTCTCGCTCTTCGCTGGAACTTTTGCTTGCTTGCTTTATGTGTGAGTGGAAGTGTTCACTAGAGTTTTCCTTTAAAAAGCTTTCCATGATATCTGTTTGTTTTTTGGTGATTATAGGGGACTGAGACTCGCATACCGCTAAAAGGTGTTTGGTGTTTGCGCCAACAGGTGGCACGTTGTCCGCCGCGACGCTCGCCGCACCAGCGTCCACATCGGTCACTATTATGTTGGGAATAAGGAATGTTGATTCGGCGCGAACTCTACGAAGAGCAGAGAGTGTTGGAGAGGTGCAGCCTGATCCCTGGACCACATTGTCCTCCTCGTCTGCAAACTCTCCCTCACTCTCAGACTCTTCTGTTTGACTCTCATTCTCGCTACATTCTCGACTGTTAACCTCTGACTGTAAAGCTAGAATGAAGGAATGCTGACTGTCGAGTTTGGAGTTGTGACCTATTTCATGTTGTGTACCTTTGTCCCCTGCACCTAAGTGACCCAAAAGGCGTTTAGAGACAGCTTTCACCCCACCATCGCTCTGGGTGTGGCGACCTGCAGACGGGTTGTGGTCAGCTGTGAGTGAGTATTCATGAGCATCATTGACAGCAAAGCTGCTATTAGTGGTTTGTTGACACATACCTATGGCGCCTTCACCACCACCACCACTATCGTCCCCTCCTTCTGCATGCAGCGTGCCACCCCCGCTCTGCTCCGAAGTGCCATCGAGTTGCACAGTTTGCCCCTCAGAGGTCGAGTGAGTTTCAAAAGTACCAACTGCTTGCTGTTCAAGACAACGTGACTGATTATTATCAACCTGCCGACGATGATCAGGACTCTCTCCGCGACATTGAGCAGCCTCACCTGCCACCACTAGACTAGAACACCCTTGGGTAATTTCCGATCGACTTACTTTGGTTTCATAAGTGATATGAGACGGCTCACTATTGCAATCACTAACTATACTCCTACATCTCTGACGCTGGCTCTCCAATCCCGTTGAGGACTCATCCTCTACTAGTTCTAAATCCCGAAGAAGTGTCTCTGAAAATGCTTCATCTATCGAGGTGTTTAAATCTGTGCCTAACAAAAGATCCTCCCAAGAGTCAGCTAACTCATCATTATCTTTAGGCTGAGTTGGGCTAACACTACTAGTTTGTGCCATTTTACGAGAGATTTGATTACTAGACTGCTGGAAAAATGCTGCAATTTCTCTCCGTTTCTTTTCTGCGCTTTCCGGTGAAATGGAGGCTTCAAACTGACCCTGAGCATACATGGCATTAGGAGTGATGGAGGAGGGGGTGTGCCGCTTTTGAGGCTCTTTACCCCATGGCAAAACATTGGACGATGACACAGTTTCTGGTTTGGAAGTGGAAGGATAGAAAGCAAGACTCTGTGGCCTCTTCTGCTGTGACTGGAGGAGTTCCACAGGTATTCTGAGACTGGCCACTTGGACTGTGCCTCCCTGCTCCGTCTTCTCCATCAATGCTGTGAATCGTTCACTACGCGAGTCGTGTAAACTTCGTCGCTTCTCTAGGTAGGACGTCTCTGGTTCAGCTTGGAGAGCAGACATACCTTGGCCCTCAAAGACAGCCAGACCCATCTTGATGAGCCCAGAGCTCGAGCGTCGCAACGGTGGTGGTCCCGGGCTCTCGGAAACCTCAGGGTCCACTTCGGCAAACGCCGCAATACCCTTCTTAACAAAACCAGAAGCTGAGCGCCTAAGACCTGGAGAAGGGGTTGTATCTTGTCTCTCATTCTTGTCAATCATTCCTATTTCGAATGCAGCTAAAGTCTTTTTAATTAAGCCGGAACTGGAATGCCGAAGGCCTCTGGGTGGGGAGGCCTCTCTCGAGTCGCCAGGAGAACTGGTACTTCCAGCATCCTCAAATTTGGTAATTTCTTTCTTGACTCGAGACTTTGCTAGTGAAGGATCTTTCCATGGGATAGATCGCCTCTCATCATCTGATGGTTCACTTGCTCCAGCTGCTGCCTCCCACTTCTCAAACTGTAACTTACTCAAGCGTTTAACACGTTGCCCGGCATCAAGTGCCATGTCTTCCTCACACTTAACCATCCCATCCCATTGCTGTATCTGTTCTTTACTTAATCTTTTAACTCTATCTTCCAGCTCTTTTATCCTACCCCCTTCTCCACTAATCACATTCTCCCATTTGTCTTTCTTTTCCTTGTTTCTCATCTTAACACTACTGCCATTTTTCATGGAACTGATATCGTCATGTTTTTCGTCTTTTATGATAGTTTCCCATTTGTTTATTTGCGTTTTGTCAATTTTCCTCGTATCGCACTTTTCTTTAACGGTTTCCCCTTCCTTACTTGTAATACTTTCCCACTTACTAACTTCTACCCTACCTACTAGCTTAGCCCTTTCCTCAGTGATGCTTGTAGCTGTAGTGGGGCTTACAGCTATCTGTTTCTCCCAAGTATTGGCTTGCGACTTGATTCCTTTCCTAACTTTCTTCTTATCTTTAAAGTTAACATCCTCACTTTCCTGCTCATCTTTACTTTGACCCTCTAAAAGCTTCTCCCTGCTTTTCTTTACATACTGACCCGTTACGTCTGAAGCTACACCCTCTTTCCACGGCTTGTTGGAGATTGATGTCTTGGATTCGACTGATGCATGTATAGCAGACTCCCACATGCTCGCCACCTTACCTGCAGACCCCTGGTCTTGGCTCTCGGTTATAGACTCCAGAGTCACGGACGCACCTGTCATCTTGGATGCTGTGGTTGTAGGCTCAAAATGATTGGTTGTGGAGGAAATATTCTTGTTACTTGAAGGTGAGGCGGAAGGTTCTTGGCCTGTCGCTCTGGGATCTTGACTAGGAGCAGAGTGCAGCCGCCCACGGTTACTAGATATAGGTAAAGGAGGGGCTGCAGTTTCTGAGGGCTTGGTTTTGGAAACAGAATCTGGGACGCTGCTCCACCGAGACACTCCGTGTTGAGGAGGAAAATTGGTAGTTGGAAGTGGAGGAACACTGAACTCGGACGCCTTTGGTTTCATGGTGTTATCGGAAACACTGCCCCAATGGGATACTTTCTGCAGTTGCTGGTCTCGAAGCTGTTGTTGACGCATAGCAGTTGTTGGAAGTGGAGGCACCACATAGTCTGAAGCTTTTAACTTCACAGACGGCATAGCAGGCGTACTGCCAAGCTTAGAAACAGGTTGGGCTTCCAAACTAAACTTATCTGACTGTGGGAATGTTTGATGATTCTTTGTATCAGGACCTTTAACACTTTTCAGAGACTGTGTGACACGTCCAAGTACAGCATTTTGGAATCCAATACTCTGTGCTGGAGGCTTAGCATGTGTAGGTTCCTGAAGGGTGGAGAATGACGAGCTTTTTGTACGAACATCGTCACGTGTTGCAGGGTTGAATACAGAACCAGTGATTCCAGTTCTTACAGGATTTGAGCTGTTCTGTTCTTGACTTGAATGGACACTCAAACATGTTACTGACGAACTCTTTGTTCTGTCAGTTTCCGATATGGACGCTGATCGACCACCAAATATACCCTTACGAACTGGTTCTGGGCTGTGCATAAGCTTAGGAGAATCTGGAAGTGAAGATGCTGATGAACTTGGATTACTAAAGGAAACATTATCAAATGAAAAATTCTTTTGGAAAGCTCTTATTTTAGGATTTTGAGGTGGAGACTGAATCCGTTCAGGCAATGAAGACACAGAGGAACTTTTGACTCGGTCCATTTCAGGAGATGCTACTTTGTGTATATCTTGCCCTGGTGAGCCTCGTTGGCTTTGCACACGGCGGAGACTTGATACATCTGCAGGAGATTTGGGCAGAGGTTTTGGCACTGCATGAGGTGAAGGATTATGGATGGACCAAGGAACTTTAACAGGATATGATGCTTCTTTTGCACTAGGAACTGATTCAGCACTGATGCCAAATTGCATAGCACTTACATGTTGAATTTTATGAGCACTGTCACCCACGAAGACCTCATCATCATTTGCTTCAGTATCACAGTCGCCAAAATAGTCTTCCATATCGGGATTAGACCCACAGCCTTGGGAGCTTTGGCTAGTAGTCCTGCCGGATGCAGAATGACTCCTCTGGCGTACTAGTTCCTCACGGGACTGATGGCGGGAAAGTGCAGCGGTAACCAGCCCGGCAGCGCCTTCAACACTGCCCTGTCGTGTGAGGGAAACTCGAGTAGGCCGACGCCCCTGTCGGACTGGATCCTGACTTTCAACAACTCTCCCTAAGTTAGTTGTTTGCATCTGTTGTGCAACTGTAGTTGCATTTGTCTCGGCAGTTTTTGAGGTCTCTTCCAATACTGCTTGTTGGACAGCACTTAGAGGCTTTCCAGGTTGATAAATATTACTTAGCTGTGGTTGGGAAGGTTGCAACTGGATCGGTGGAGAATTGTGCATCTGTTGTTGGGTCTGTAGCAGAAGCTGTTGCTGCTTTATAAGCTCCTGCTGCTGGCGAATCTGTTCTTGTTGTTTTAATATCTGCTGCTGCAGTTCTTCCTGCTGCCTTTGTAGTTCTTGCTGCATTTGCAACTCTTTTTGTTGTTTTTCTAACTCTTGCTGTCGTCTCAACTCTTCTTGTCTTTGCAGCTCTTGCTGCTTTCTGAATTCTTCCTGCCTTTGCAGCTCCTGCTGCCTCTTAAACTCTTGCTGCCGTTGCAGCTCTTGTTGCCGTTGCAGCTCTTGTTGCCGTTGTAGCTCTTGCTGTCTTTGCAACTCTTGCTGCCTTTGCAACTCTTGCTGCCGTTGCAGCTCTTGTTGCCTTCTTCGCAACTCTTCCTGCCTTTGCAACTCTTCCTGCCTTCTCAGCTCCTCTTGTCTTTGCAAGTCTTGCTGCCTTTTCAGCTCTTCCTGCCTTTGCAACTCTTGCTGCCGTTGCAGCTCTTGCTGCCTTCTTCTCAACTCTTCCTGTCTTTGCAACTCTTGCTGCCTTCTCAACTCTTCCTGTCTTTGCAACTCTTGCTGCCTTCTCAACTCTTCCTGTCTCTTAAATTCTTCCTGTTTTTTCAACTCTTGATGTCTCTTAAATTCTTCCTGTTTTTTCAACTCTTGATGTCTCTTAAATTCTTCTTGCTTTTTCAACTCTTGCTGTCTCTGCATTTCTTGTTGTTTTTGCAGTTCAGCTTGTCTCTGAAGTTCTTGCTGCTGCTGCTGCTCCCTTTGTTTTTGTTTATCTTTCTTACGTTGCGAATCCTGTTGCCTCTGTAATTCCTGCTGTCTTTGCATTTCTAATTGTTTCTGCAAGTCCTGTTGCTTCTGCAATTCTTTTTGTTTATGCAAATCTTGTTGCCTTTGTACTTCTTTTTGTTTTTGCATTTCCTGCTGTTGCAGCATTTCTTGTTGCTGCTGCAACTGTTGTAGCCTTTGAGACTCTTGCCTTTTCTCTTCCTCTTCCTCTTGTTTTCTCCGTAATACCTGCTGTTCCCGGGTGTGTTCGTGCACCCCCTTCCACACCGTGTTCTTGTGCTCTGTGGCAGCCGTCTCTGGTCCTCCTACAGTGTTCATGCGCCGGTATGGGTGAGTGTGTCGGTGCGGGGGCGGCGAGTCGCCTGCGTCCGCTGAGCTCGCCCGTACCATTCCTGATCGCCTTTGTTCCTCACCGAAACTCAATTGTTTATTGATAGCCGCTTTGTGAACCGCAATTTTCACTAGCATCTCTGGGGTGAAGAGTTTGGAGCTTGGATCATCGGACATCCCTGTACTGGCGCTGGCTGCTTGGCCCAGCTCTCCGTGTTGGTTTTGAAGGTCCTCAAAATTGCCTTGTGTTTCAAATTCATTTTGGTTACTATCGACGTTTTTGACCATTCCGGCAACAGACCCTGCGCTCCTTGTTCGTGAGATTTCATTCCTAACAAAATGAGCTGCGTTAGTTTCTTCAGCCCCCGCAGAGACCTGCTTCTGAATCATATCCTGTATGCGACTCACTTGGTTAGTTCTAATAGTTCTCTCAGCAACTGCTGCAGTAAAGCCCACTTTGTGTATATCTGTATGCATAGTATCTTCCAAACTACCCCTAGATTTTCTGGCTACACTGCTATATGGGATATTTAACTCCAGATGACCAGACGCAACATTGGCAGCAGGGGTTGACTTGGACCTTGAGAGTGACTTGCTGGAACTGACGTTGTGAACCTGGTTGGCTGTAGGTGGATGGTACTGATAATTAGCATCACTGGGACCAGCATCCATTCTCTGTGGAAGGTCTGGTCGTTGAGGCACTGGTGGTGGCTGGGGATGCTCTCCCCGTTGTGGTAAGGGTGGTGGTGGCGGCTCGGTGTGTGCTTCTGGTGCATAAGTTGATTGTATGTGTCCAGGGCGACAATCTGGAACTGTTGGCTGAATTGCTAGGGATGTTGGACGCTTGGGTAGTACTGGTACTACAGTGCTAAGCTGCTGACGTGCAGGAATACAAGGGACAGCTGACTGTTGGCTCTGATGCTGTGGATTTTTGTGTCTTTTATTCACCTCGGGAGCCTTTTCTGCTATCGGAACTGACTGAGCTTCAAAAGCCTTTTCTTTAAAGTAATCAGTCTTCTTAAGAACATCAGATTTCTCAAGTTTTTGGAAACCAACACCTGGTTTAACAATTTGTTGCTCATTCTGCTTGTGAAATACTCCTGGAACCTGAGTTTTACTTCCCATCTTCTCTTCATATGGCTTGATAGAGAAAACCTCTCCCTCGTCATCGGAGTCCTCGGAGTCACTCTTATCACTGGTATGGTCCAGAGTAACACGAGCTACAGATCTATGAGGGTTCATGTGTCCTGCAGAGAACGATGTGACAATATGACCGTACTCTCTCTTATAATCTTGAGCTGTTTTTGACTGTACAGGTTTGTGTATATATCCCACTTGTTCTAATGAATTAGAGTGCAAAACAGATTGCCAGGTCTTTTTTATCTCGGATACATTACTTACAGAACGGCTTTCATTAGGCAATGGAAGGCGATAAGGTGTTGGTTTTGAGCCCCACAAATCGTTGTAGGCTTTCTGTCGCTTTGAAACAATTGCAGCACCTGCTAAGTGTGAATACACAGACACTGAAGCACTGTTAATGGATGCATTTTCATCCTTCATGAAAGCTGGTGTAGGTCTCTCGATCCGCTTCTTCGCTGCCCTGATCTTCCATGGAATATCTCTCTTCTCTTTCCTTCGGGAGGTGTCTGAGTCACTCATCCTACTGTCCGGTGTGCCATCTCTAGTAGACACTGATTCACTATCTTCACGTGCTCTTGTAAACACATCTTCGCTATCGTCATGAATTTCTTCCCCATCGTCGATTTCAGAAGATGGCTGTCTTGCTAACTCCTCGCGGGATTTACATTTCCCTATTGCTGAGGAGAGAACACCTCTGGCCTCGTTGAGGCTGTTCTCTCGCTCTAGAGTACGGTGGCTATTGGTTCCTGTTTTTGATGTGGTGTTCTCCGAAGACTGGGGCAGCTGGCTTTGCTGTTTCTTGGATGTGAGTTCGTCGACTTGAAGAACAATACCTTTCGTGTCATTGAGGTTAACACTAAACTTGAGACCACCGGTAATGACTAAGGGACTTCCAGATCCGGATGATCCATATGATGGAGAGTTGAGGGCTCCTGCTGAGCTAGATTTAATTATTCCACTGGAGTTCCTCATGGGGCCTTCATTAGCTTCTATAACAGTCTTTGGCTCTTCGAGCTCCTCATCCTCCTCCTCGTCCTCCTCTTCTTCCTCACCTTCTTCCTCTTCGTCTTCCTCTTCATCTTCCTCTTCTTCGCCATCCCCTTCCCCCTCCCCATCCTCTTCCTCCTCCTCCTCCTCCTCTTCACCCTCAACGTCTTCAACGTTGTTGTCTTCAGCATCTTTCTTTCCATCAGATCGTGATGCTGCGGCCCGCCCGTTCCCCTTATCCTTCTCCACTCGTTTACTATCCTCGTCAACCTCACGATCCAACAGGACACCTCCAAGTGACACCTGGAGGCGATCGATAAGTGAAAGCAGTTCTGGGTCCTGACCCTCCGGCTCTCCTTGTTCTTCCATACAAGTGAAGGTCTGGCTCTTAGATTTACAAATGTTATTTTTCAGTTTATCTAGCACCGAATTAACTTCAACTATTAATTCCGTACTAAATTCACCACTAGAACTGTCATCTCTTTGAGGTTGAGTTTGTTTACTTTTCCGGCTGGTGGCCTCAATGGAAGCCTTTACCCCCTCCATGAAGGCAATGAAGTCTTTCTTATTTCTACTCGAGTCGTCACCTAATTCCGTACTGGGATCGGACGCACACTCCTTACTCGACTTAATATTACTGGAAAGGAAAGCATAAGCAGAAGAGCCCTGAGGAGAAAGATTAGCCCTAACGCATTTCCCTGAAGAAGCCCCGCCACCTGACCGCTCCTTAGATTCCTCAAGCGACGTTTTCAACTGCCCCCAAACTATGGGTTCCAACTCACCCTCGCTGCTACGCAAATTGGACTCTTTTGAGCTACTAGTGGTGGACTTGGACACTGCCTCGAATTTTGACTGCGCCGAGGAGCCCTGGGTGCGTGACCCTTGCCCCAAATCATGGCCGCTCAGCTCCTCGCGAAGAGCTGCAACAACAAGATCAGTATATTAACTCACTTGAACCAAAGCAGTAGAAGCAAACATCTCTTTATTAGAAATATACCAAAGGAAAATAAGAAAAATCTTCAGAACAAGACAGTGGGCTCAATGCAAGGATGGTGCTGGCGTCACCCGAGGACGACATGTCCTGGGTCACCCACGATGCGCTCCGCACGCAGGTTCGATCCCACCTTCTTGCTCCAAAGATTATTTCATAGATACATCACGTTACTGTAATCTCATGCTGTATACCTAAAGAATTTCACCGACATATATTCCACACACGTGTATAAACAATACATTAAATAGCAACAATTTTTATATGTGAAGTATACATAGACATATTTCCATTTTACAGTATTGTGATACATGTTTTAAATTAATTAAAACTAGATGTATTTTGGGCATAACCCACCAAAGAAAGGAACCTCTGGACGCTGTATTCTCAGGTTAGGCAAAGTGATATGATGAGAACAAGACTGTACTTGATTACATGTAGTTGAACATCACACATCACCACACGTCACCATACATCACCACAGGCGTCCACTTACCTTTCTTTTCAGCCATGAGTGACTTAAGGCGCATTCTAATTCGTCTGCGGTCCTCATATTCATCGCACGAGTCAAGCTGTAAGAAGAACAGTTGTTGAGTTGATGGACAGAGCAAACACAAGTGGGTAATTTCTGGGGCAACAGAAGGGACACTGGTTAGGGAACATTAAACATGTTTCTGGGACATAGTATGAAGTAACATAGCGACAAGTAGCCACAAACACACAAGAAACAAGCACTCACAAACACAGCCTCTCAATAACCCGCACTCAACAATACCCTCACACACTATCGTATCTGAATCAGGTTCCATAATAAACACGAGTGGATTTGGCAAGTTCGTCTATAGGCCTGGGGACGAAACTGCCTATGGCAAAACATCTTCACTCGCTAAGTTTAATTCCATAGTTCTCAGACTATATAGCCTAGCTGGAACACCTAACATTGACTTTAAATGAATATATCCACAAGGGCCGTGACGAGGATTCGAACCTGCGTCCGAGAGCATCCCAGACGCTGCCTTAATCCTCTTCACGGCCCTTGTGGATTTGTTCATTTGATGCATCACGCAATTGTGATTTCTGTGTGTATTGACTTTAAATAAATGTTTACAAATTATATTTAAACATACAAAAAAAACATTTGTGCTTGTTTCCCACTGCCGGGGATATATGAAACTTGCAGTTAGGCTTATCGAAACCCTCCTCCTGCTAGTCCAACTACTGATCTTACACAGGATGCAACCCACAACAGTTGTCTAGCTCCCGGGTACCTATTCACTGCTTCATGAACAGAGGCATCAGGTGAAAGGAATCGTGCCCAAACGCTTCGGGAATCGAACTCTGGTTCGTTCGGTTGTGAGTCGACTGCGTTAACCATTTCGCCACAGGGTCCACAGGGAGAAAAAAAAAGAGGACAATAAGTGGAGGTAGATTACATTACAGGTCGAGGCAGGACCCAAGAGCTGGAGTTTAACTGGGCCTGAGGTGTGGGGGGGGGGGGGACCAAAGCTGTGGGTGAACAGAGACGTAGCTTATGTCAGCCCACAGGTATGTGTTGGAGCCGCGCCACCACACCCACCCCGGCTGGCTCCATACCTGCTCCCCTCCCACACCTGCTGCCCTCCACACACACACACACACAAACCCTACCCACACCAGCCTGCTTCCCACACCCACTCCTATTCCACACACACACACACACACACACACACACACACACACACACACACACACACACACACACACACACACACACACACACACACACACACACACACACACATACACACACACACACCTACACTCTACCCACACCTGCTCCCGCCCCACACCCTGCCCACACTCCAGCTCCACACTCACCCCGACCCCACACCCAGCTGCTGCTGCCTGGCTGCCATCCCCCTTCCCACACTAACGAAACCTCTGCATCTTTCCATCGACCATATCAGCCTAGTTTGTATTTATTTAATCAGTGTACGAGCTTCGAGAAATGCAGGTTCATGGGGTCGAACCTGCATTTCCGAACGCCCCAGGCCTTACCCGCGGGATCGATCCCATTGCATAGCCCCAGTATAATTAGGCAAATGGAGAGACTTTGCTCAAACCGAAAAAAATAACACGCGATTACGTAAAGGGGCGAGACGGAAGACCATGACATACTTCCGTCCCATTTTGATTGAGAAATTTAGAAGATCGTCTGATCGTCTGTCAGTGTGACTGTTCCAGCGTCCCCCTGGCTGTTCCGGCGTTCCCCTGACTGTTCCGGCGTCTCCCTGACTGTTCCGGTGTTCTCCAGACTGTTCCGGCGTCCCCCTGACTGTTCCAGCGTTCCCCTGACTGTTCCAGCGTTCCCCCGACAGTTCCGGTGTCTCCCTGACTGTTCCGGTGTTCTCCAGACTGTTCTGGCGTCCCCCTGACTGTTCCAGCGTTCCCCTGACTGTTCCAGCGTTCCCCCGACAGTTCCGGCGTCCTCCTGACTGTTCCGGCGTCTTCCCTGACTGTTCCGACGTCTACTAACTGTTCCAGCGTCCCCCCTGACTGTTCCGGCGTCCTCCCTGACTGTTCCAGCGTCCCACTGACTGTTCCGACGTCCCCCCTGACTGTTCCAGCGTCCCCCTGACTGTTCCGGCGTCCCCCCTGACTGTTCCAGCGTCCCCCTGACTGTTCCGGCGTCCCCCCTGACTGTTCCAGCGTCCCACTGACTGTTCCGACGTCCCCCTGACTGTTCCAGCGTCCCACTGACTGTTCCGACGTCCCCCTGACTGTTCCGGCGTCCCCCTGACTGTTCCGGCGTCCTCCCTGACTGTGTGTGGCTGGTGGCCCATCAAGCAAACAGAGCTGGGCCAAGAACAAGCTGTTGGTACCTCTGGCGATAAAGATGATTCCCGTGAGATTACAAGAGGCTTAGCAGTGTGGTGGCGGCTTCGGCACGAAGAGTGCCAAGGTGTGTGTGTGGCACCTACCCCACACAGGCACACACACACACACAGGGACCTATAGCTGGCACCCGTCAATCCCTCTATGTACACACCGGACACTTACACCTCAGCTGTATACACATGACTCTAGGGCAGGTGTTTAGTGTGTGTGTGTGTGTGTGTGTGTGTGTGTGTGTGTGTGTGTTTAGTGTGTGTGTGTGTGTGTGTGTGTGTGTGTGTGTGTGTGTGTGTGTGTGTGTGTGTGTGTGTGTGTGTGTGTGTGTGTGTGTGTGTGTACTCACCTAGTTGTGTCTGCAGGATCGAACATTGACTCTTGGATCCCGCCTTTCGAGCATAGGTTGTTTACAGCAATGACTCCTGTCCCATTTCCCTATCATACCTGGTTTTAAAACCTGGTTTTGTGTGTGTGTGTGTGTGTGTGTGTGTGTGTGTGTGTGTGTGTGTGTGTGTGTGTGTGTGTGTGTGTGTGTGTGTGTGTGTGTGTGTGTAACGTCACATCTTCCGTCAGCCCTCCTGTTCATCCACATCTGCCTATTCTAGTCTGTACTCCACACCTGCTGACTGTACTCATTCTCCTCTCCCATCAAATGGCCCATCTCAGGGCCCCATCCCATCTCTGTGCGCAGCCGCAATCCTTGAAGCCTATCCCACCCATCCTTCAATGGGATCAATGAGCCCCTTAATACATGGGATAGTAGGAGAAACTAAGGTTTGCTTACTAGGAATGTGGGTTTGGAGGGAAAAACACACACACACACACACACACACACACACACACACACACACACACACACACACACACACACACACACACACACACACACACACACAGGGTGGACAAAGACAACTCTTCAGCACGGGTGGGACACGAACAAGGGGACACAGGTGGAAACATAGTACCCAGATGAGCCACAGAGACGTTAGAAAGAATTTTTTCAGTGTCAGAGTAGTTAATAAATGGAATGCACTAGGAAGTGATGTGGTGGAGGCTGACTCCATACACAGTTTCAAGTGTAGATATGATAGAGCCCAATAGGCTCAGGAACCTGTACACCTGTTGATTGACGGTTGAGAGGCGGGACCAAAGAGCCAGAGCTCAACCCCTGCAAGCACAACTAGGTGAGTACACACACACACACACACACACACACACACACACACACACACACACACACACACACACACACACACACACACACACACGCACGCACACACACGCCCTCCCGCCCCTCCCCCCCCATACAACAGCCATAGGAGCTAAAATTACCCAAAGTATAAACAGGTGAAGGCTGTCATGACAGTTGTGTACTGGAGTTTCCCCATCTCCCATACACCCCTCGTATACTCAACCTCTGTATACATATGTATGGTGTACTGGAGAGGGTGTAGAGCCTCTCTTCCCCTCTTCCATACACTCCTCACACACACACACACACACACACACACACACACACACACACACACACACACACACACACACACAGAGAGAGAGAGAGAGAGAGAGAGAGAGAGAGAGAGAGAGAGAGAGAGAGAGAGAGAGAGAGAGAGAGAGAGAGAGAGAGAGAGAGAGAGAAGAGAGAGAGAGAGAGAGAGAGAGAGAGAGACAGACAGACACAGACAGAGCACCATAATACACCTGAATCGTCTCACAGTGCTATACACCTGCCATACAGCCTGTTACTATACATACACAGGTAATACAATCCATAGTATACTCACAAAGTCAGACTAAATAATATTAACATATACAAAACGAGAATTAAACAACAAATACAAGTAAAAAATACAATCCGGGTCAATATCACCGGCTTGTTCAGGGTTTATACAAATACAACGGAACAAGGTAAGC